GGGTGCTGCCGAATTTCCCCACGTGAGATTTTTCGCTGGTGGGGTCCTCGCTGCGCGGGGGACGCGGGGTACTGCTTTGGAATGGCGGAAGGGCCCCTGGCCGCAGTTTCTCCAACTGCCTCGGCTGAATTAGGGACTTCAGCTGGGGTGAGTCCAGGCGGTAGGCTTAGGAAAGAAATCTCTATCGTCAAGTGAGAACAGCAGTTCCTCGAGCTAACGAGGTAAATGCTGTTCTTACTTCCACGAGAACACCAACGCAGACTTTTAAAGGAAGTAGCTCTTTAGAGGAGTGTTTTTCATGCACGCTGTTCAAATGCTCCTGGGTGCAAACGATCTGTCTAGTCTGGGCCGTTTTAGATGTTGGGACTTCTTGACACGGATATGACCTCAAAGACTGCTGCTTTGCTGATGATGCATGTCTGTGCTCTGTGGTGCTTTTGCTTTACTTTGATGTGATTTGGTATCACAAAGGGGAAAGGCAAAGGCATTAAATGCTCAGAGGAAAAACTGCAAGGAGATAATTTGCATTGCTTCAAATAAGGTATATCTGATTACGCTTTAGGCTTCGAGTATTTGATATTCTTACTGTATTACTCCCTTATCAGAAGGGTGTGCAGAGACAGCACTTAATCTGGCTAATGTGTTTGAATCACTTGTAGAAACACAAAAGAATCATGTAGAAAAAAGAAAGGTTCACACTTCCTTGGAATAAAACTAGCAAGGTACGTGTGCTCAGTGGTCTGATGTAGACATCTATTTTTTTTTTTCCTTTGCCTTATCAATTTCTGGTATGATTCTGTGAGTGCTGATTTCTTTTTTTTCTTATGACTCTGTACCTGTTGTTATTATTAGCTCTAAAACTAAGAAAGTTTGCAGAAATTTACAGTAGCAAGTATTATATGCTGCTTTTTATAATGAAGAGATAGCTTTCTGGAAGACGTTATGTCCCAAAGACACTGTTCTTATGACTCAAGTTTAACTTCCCGTCTAACGCAGCCTGTAATATTCAACTGCTTGCTCTCATTTGAAATCCATATTTCCAGAGAAATGTGTGTTTTGTGTATGGGTTTATGGTATATACATTGTTTTTCCATCTAACTGGAATGGAACACAGATAAACACTTGAAGAAAGATAGGAATTGGTTGCTTGAAAATTAAATCTGATCTTAATCAGCTGCCGCCTTAAGTTGATATTTATATTTTTTGATTTCTCCTATTCTGGGAAGAGTTGTGTTCAGGTAATACTTCCTGTATTTGTGTGTAGTGACTTTTTGAAGTCTTCTTTTATCAGGATAAAAAAAAGACATTTCACAGATTACTACATATAGAGTATCATTTTTATTAGCAAAACACATCACCTAATTTAAAGTATAGGGGTATTTTGGCTCACTGCTGAGCCATTTAATTGCTTTCCCACTGGAGTCCTAATTATTTAATACTTCTCCTTAAAAGACTGCCAGTTACTTGGTAGCTGATCAGAAATATGTTTGCTTTAACATCAGTGTTTGTTCTTTTCCTTGGAAAAATGCAACTGGTAACAACTTCTGCAGTTCTGTCTGCTGGAATTCGTCTCTGTCATATTAATAGTTTGATAGCGTAGTAGCGTGGTATTGTATCGGTAGGTTTTATGTAAGGATTGCAAGACATTCTAGTAACTGATAACGTCGTGAGTGTGACTTCTTTCAATCACCTTAACTCCCCAAATATGGCATTACAAATTTGCTGTATTTCTGCAAGCATGGACTACTGGGTGTTTGCAGGGGCAAAATAGGAGGGAAAATGTGGTTTTGGGAAGCATAAGATGAAGTGTTTGGTAGATACTACAAAAAAAGTTTCAGTAATTTTTTTTGAGGCACGTGTTGCAAGTCTGGAGCCCAGCCAAAGACCTGAGACCATATGAAGGTGAGGTTTAACAAGCTGTGCTTACGCACAGGAGAAGGTTGTAGATCATAGAATTTTTCTCCAATATGCTTTATATTTTGAATCTTGTTAATCAATAGCAAATAATACTGTGGCTAATTCTAAAATTATGGGGTGATACAATGCAGAATAGCAATGTAATCTTGGTCCTCTTGCATTTGCCACTGCATCAAAACACAGAGTTAGTTTTTAGGGATAATCACCTTTGTGGTATCTGCTTCAGGGCTGTTACTCACACAGCTATCTACTTTGTGATCCTTTTCAAAGGTGCCAAGCTTCAGTTGCAAGCAATGAGAAAATTCGCTACAGTCAAATAGTAGTTAATAGAAGATCTGTTTGTAATAAAAACTAATACTGAACATTATTATGCTGCTGAGTCATCAGTCCCCAAACAAACCTGGTTAAGTTTTAAGTAATAATTTCATAGAGGAGAAGGTGATAAAATTGATATGTGACATCTTTGCTTCCATAATTTAAAGACTGATTCCCAGTTTTCTCTTTACCTGAAAGTTATCATGACTTTTAAATTGTGATCTCTGCAGATTACTTGATATTTTAGGAGGATTAAGTGTTTTGTTACCCTGCCTATAAGGGGAAAGAAAAAGTGGTACAGCTGTCCTTCCCCCCTTCCCCCCCCCACCCCCCAACACTTTAAAGCTGACCAGTCTTTGAGTTCTTCCTGGTTAAAAGAAAGCCCTTACTTCAGCCTTGTAATTCAGTTTTTGGATTGCTCAAAAATACCATGAGAAATTACCAGACATGTAGCTTTGTGGCTTTCACTTAATGACAAGAAATTTAGTCTTCCTATCTGATTATGTCCATAAGTTTGAAAATCATCTAAACTGACTCTTTGTGACTGTCAAGTTGCCTACAGTCTGATTCTCATCCTATCTGCACAGTGAAAACTTTTCTGAAGGCTTCCCCAAATCATTTTATTTACTAGTGGCCTTGTACTTGGCCTGTAACCAAAAAATATATTTCAGGTTGGTAAAATTCTTGCATTAGTGTGTTTTAATGAATTTGGAGAGAGAAAAGAGAACTGAGAAGCAAAAAGTCAAATATCTTCCTCCTTTCTTAGAAAGATGCGCTCTCTGCCCTGTCAATCTCCCTTTCCTCTCTTTCCGTCTTTCCTTTGTGCACATACCTAGACTTAATTATCTTTAAGTCAGAAGGGGTGTTTAGAATGATGTAATCTAATTTCTTGCACAAGGAAGCCCATAGCAGTGGGCTAGGTGAGAGTCTCTGAAATTGATTTCAGATTAGCCTGGAGCAGTAATTTTCAGGCTGTTAACCTCTGTGGATCTGTCGACTACTGTGGAGAAGATAAGAGAAGATAACTAAGAGAAGCACTTTTTTCAAACTCTAAATGCAGCAGTTTGTAACCTCTACTGGAAACTTGAGAGATTTGAAAACTGAGAAAGATTGATAACCACTGAGGCAGATTTTTTTAGAAAGAGATATACTGGATTTAAGATAAATGAGTGATCGTGTGTGATGTCTGAATTCTGAAGAACTAAATATATTCCAGTATTTCATCATCTCTGCTAACGTGCATTCTGTTTAGCTTGGAGAAGAGAAGGTTTGGGAGGGGACTTGATCACAGCCTTTCCTGTGAATATGGGATGAGGAGACTGGGGACAGGCTGTGTGACATAGATCACCATGTAGGATGGGAGCTGTGGGAAGTTCAGTGAGTGATGTGCAGAGGGCAGGAGAATACACTTGAGCATGTGTTGGTGTGTGGTCTGGCAAAAGTATGGAAAAAACTTGATTTAGACATCGTTAAGGAAAAGTCTCCATCTAGAGTAGTGAGCCCAGTTCTGCAGCATCAGCATATGTCTTGCCTCCGTAACCAGACTTTGAATGAACTATGGATAGAGTTGAGCTCGATGGCTCTGAGGTAGGTGTATGTCCATATTTGACAACATCAAAACATGTGCATTTTTCCTGGCTCCGGAATGAATGTTCAGTGGATGATGAAAGCCTTTTATATTAGACTTGCCTTTTATAACAGCCTGATAAATGTATCAATACAATTTTATATGGATTGCATCCGATTGAAAGGGACTAGGCTTGATGACACAGATCTTTCCTACCTTTTGTTCTTTCTAGTATGTCTCTAAGCTTCTTAATCCTGTGGTGACATGCAGAAAACAGTGTGGAGGAAAAAGAGGCAAATTAGAAAAGGGACAAAAAAAGCTTTTTTGCAGGGGGACAGGGAGAAAAGATATTAAGCAAAACTGTATAAGAATAGCACAGGGGAAAAAAGCAAGATCATAAAAAAATTAATGAAGGATCACTAATTTCAGCAGCATTTTTTTCGTGTTTGGTTCTCATTTCTGTGGCAAAATCAACATTATAACTGACCAAATTTATACTGATATTTATTTAATGGTATTTGAGCTGCCCAAATACAAGTTACTTTATGTGAGCTGGCATGCTAATTTTTAGTTTCAGAAACCATTCTACTACTTCCTGTATTTAAAATACAAATCCTTTAATTTCTTACTGTCGTAAAGCAAAGGCTTTTTCACAGCTTCAGAATGAACAGAAGGCATCTGGTGCTTGAGGGAGAGGGTGCCTCAAGGATCAAGTCTAAGTGAGATGCAGTACTAGCATACCGCTTAATCTCAAGTTCGTATGATGGTCTAGTGAGCTATTAACACATGATATATGAAAAAAGACTTCATTTAGAAAAAGCTAACCTTTTTTTAGCTTTAAGAGAATAAGCTGGTGGTTGTTTGCTATGTACTAGCTCAGCTTGCTGTTAGATGCTTGGCTATTTAACATGGGTATCTGCAACTAGATTTGCTCTTGAATGTTTAGGAAGGGTGTCTGATATTTATTTTATGAGTTCATAGTGGTGCAGTTGTACCTTTGGTTTAACAAAACTGAATGGCAGTGATTTTCACTTGGACTGCTTATTCCACCACAACCACTGCCCTTACCATTCCAAAATATGTACCTCTAGGTACCTTCAGATCTTGAATGGATGCAGCAGACTTCAAAACTAAATAGTTCTGGTTTCCCAAGCAGATCATAAGAATCTTCTCTTAATGGCAGGGTGAGCATCACCAAAGTAGATTCCCAAGAAGGTTCTGCAGCTTAGTAGAGCCTCAAATAGGGTGAATATGTATTTAAAAAAAAAAAAAAAAAGTGGAGAAAGGGGAATATAGCCTGGCACAGTCATGTGATCCAGGGTTTCTTCCTCGCCATGGAAAGGGCGGTTTCACGGGATCTGTGAACTGTGCCACGGGCATGCTTGGGACTGTTGCCTCGTGGAGGAATTTCTAGCTTATATCCCTGTTGGGCCATGGAACAGCTCAAACCGTGAGCTATCCCGTGAGGATTCTTTGCCTTGTGCTTGGGCATGATATGAAGCGAGGAAAGGTTTGAGGTGTGGACAAGCCAGATGTCACTCAGCATATTGCAGAGAGAAAGCTGCATGTGCAGAGAGAAAGCTACAAGGGAGACTTGAGGGATAAAAATCTGAGAAAAAGCCTTTATGGAGTTAGAGTAGATGGCTGCTTTCCCCAGGACTCTTGAGATAGAAGGCTACAGTGTTGAAGGTGATCCTCTTCTTCAGGGGCAAGTTAAAAGGGTGGCAGATGTTGCTTTCCCAGCACCTGGGATGACATGAGGCCTATCCCCTTTTGCTGATCATAGCCCAAACTGCTCTCCAGTTCTGGACATACTCAGCAGGACTATTCTCTGGCACATGTCAGGAGAAGTGGTGTGTCTGTCACCTGTGGGTGGTGAGAAGAGTTGTGCTGCAGGGGTTTAGCTACATGCCAGCTGAAATCAGTTCTTATGAGTTTGGCTAGTTACTTTTTTTTTTTTTCCTCCTTCTCCTCTCTCTTGTGTGGTCTAAAGTGTAGACGGGATGGTATTAGGGAACAGAGATGGTAAAGGGGTTGTCTTGAGGACAAAAGACAAATCCTAGCCTGTGGCACCCCAAGAATTTGGGGGCAGGGGAGAATGGCAGAGGGAGGATAGTATATTGATGTAATTCCAGCATCTTGGAGCCTATAACTTTGGATCTCCACTAGACTTGCTCAGAATTCTAAATCCTGGGCCGCCTTCTGGACAGTACTTTGTAGGTCTGTCTTGAAATGTGGAGATGTCAAGAGTGTGTTATGAAAGAGAGTCCCCTATTGCATGTTCCTGTTGTTCATTGGTTGTAGGTCAACTAAAGGGCCATCACAATGGGCTCATGTAGACATAGTTCCCATGGGATTATTTGGTATATTCTTGAAACCTAACGTGCTTTCTGAAATGCAAGCGTAGGATCCAGGAACTTTCACAGTTCTGTAGTGTGATTAAGTCTTTGTTACAGCTGGGGAGATATGCTGGCAACGTCTACTTCCGTTGTCTTTTGCACCAGGATGGCTTCTGGTAAGTTTTCTGAGGTTTAGGATGAAAGTGGCTGTGACCGCTATGAAGTGGTTTTAGGAAAATTTTCTTACCAGAGGAATCTTTTAATACAGGCTAAAGTTATTTATTTCCATGTCTGTTCCAGGTTAGGCTGGTATGTGGCAAAAATGGGTATGCAATTGGTACAATTTTTCTCAAGTAAAGAAGCGAGTTTATTTTGTTTTTTTTTTTGTTTTTACTCTGTTGCACTTGGATTGATTTTTTTTCAATTTGTGATCTATTTTCAGAGGAGTGACCCTGTTTGGTAAAAATTCCTCAGACCGAGTCATGTATTGCAAATATTCATGGGACTAATGTGATAATTGTTGATTCCAGGCTATATATTATAGATTTTCTGGAGCAGTTCAAATATTAGGTAGCAACAAGTCTGAGACTTTTGAGTCTACTTTAGCATGCAGGATTACTGGTTTTGATGCTGACCACGTTGCCTAGAAAGTTGATGTTAGATTAAAAATGTTTCAAAGATAGGATGGGTATGTTTCTCGCAAGTTCATTTCTGACCTCAGTCCCTCATCCCTGGACAAAATAAGTTTCCAAGGTGCACTTGAGAAGGAGCCTTCAGGTATCATCAGCTGTATGTCAAAAACCGTGGCGACTGTAGTCTGTTTTTGTGGCACATATTACAACCAAAGCTCTTCCTGCAGAGCTTTTCCTTCACAGGCTACAAAACATTCCTTTCTCAGAAGGGATGACCACATTGTCATACAGCTGTATGAGTAATTGACATCCAGAGGAGCCCAGAATAACTTGTCATATTTTGTGTTCAAAACAGAATTTCATATCCTTGATACTTTCTGGTCCTGCAGCGCAATACAGACTGATGGTTCGAGGGTTCCTCGTCAGGTATTGCAAAAAGAGTCTAGGGACTGACAGATCTTGACCTTCATCCAGAATAACTTAGTTTTCTTGAAATAAACTCAGACCTTAAAATGGAATGTAATAGTTTTTAAGCACACCATTTTTTTTCTTTGTGTCTGGACTTGAGCACAATCCTTCAGCTTAGGAGGTCTCTTAGAGATGGATCAGGATAAAGAAAAAATGAATTTATGTTCTTGAAAAGTTCAATGGGAATGTAGAGCCACTGTCTGTGCTGATCTTGCATGATAATTTCTAGATCTGGATCTATCTGGACTGGTGCACATGCCATATGTTTAATCCTCAAAAACTGATTTTCAGATGTTTGACACCTCTGAGATCCCAGTACCTTCATGGGGAACTGCAGATGTTCAGGACAGTGAAAAATCAGGATTTGTGTCTTTAAGTTACTACAGGTTCAAAGATGTCTGTCAAGTATACTTCAGCTGTAGTGGCAGCATAAAAGAGTAAAGCAGGTCTTAAAGTAAGCTTGTGTTATGCAAAAAGCTAGTGGAAGTGAATTAACGCCAAAGCATACCACTGAAAGGACACTGTTTATTCCTCAGAATGGTCTGTGGCTGGTGAACTATATGAGGAATCACAGAATTGTTGGGGTTGGGAAGCATCTCTGGAGATCATGCGGGCCAACCCACTTGTTCAAACAGGGTCAGGTAGAGCAGGTTGCCCAGGACTGTGTCCAGCTTTTGAATATCTCCAAGGATGGAGACTCCACAACCTTTCTGGGCAACCCCTTCCAGTATTCAGCCACCCTCACAATGAAGAAGCATTTTTCTTGTGCTCAAGTGGAATTTCCTGAGTTCCAGTTTGTGCCCGTTGTCTCTTGTCCTGATATGGGCCGCCACTGACAAGAGTCTAGCTCTGTCCTCTTTACACCCTCATCAGGTGTTTATAAATATTGATAAGATAACCCATGAGCCTTCTCTTCTCCTTGTTAAACAATCCCAGCTCTCTCAGCCTTTCCTCCCATGAGGGCTACTCCCTTAATCATCCTTGTGGCCCTTCACTGGGCTTGCTCCAGTGTATATGTGTCTGAGGGATTTGCCTGCTTTTTCCAAAGGTGAATTCTGGCTGTCTGAGGGGTCTGTGTTTACCTCTGTTTACACAAGCCAAATACTATGCTTATTTATGTGATTATTCTCTCTACTGACTTTTTGTTTTTTGTTTTACAGTCACTGGCTTTGGGTGAGGATTCAGAATGGGAGACAAGCCTATCTGGGAGCAGATTGGATCCAGCTTCATACAACATTACTACCAGCTCTTTGATGCAGACAGGACCCAGTTAGGAGCAATATATGTGAGTATCTGTAGAAAGGAAGTTGAGGCTCTGTCGCATAATATCTGAATTTCCCTATTTTAATGTGTGGGAATACACAGGATGGGCTAGTGGGTTTTATCCTGACTCCAAAATATCAGTCAAGCAATCGCACTTGCTGAACTCTGGTGTCTTGGCTTCCTCTTATATTTGTTGTCTATTTAGAGCTTTGTCTGCCTTGTCGATAAGCAGTCAATCTCAAAACAAAACAAACAAAAAACCCACAGTAGCTTGCAGTAGGAGAGGCTGGTGATTATCCTGTGATGAAATTCTCTGTAGAAGCAACTATGCTATCCTTAGTTTGCCATTAGTTTATAGGCTTGGATTTGCTTGGACACCTGTTAGGGTGGTGGGATGTGGATTTTTCTAAGTTCTCCTCTGTTTAGCAGTTCTTGCAGGTGTTTCTCAGATCCGATGCTGTATTTCTTTTCAGAATGTTAAACTAGGTTTAAATTTTTAAGTCTAGTTTTAAAAGTTTAAACTCAATTTAAATTAACTTTTTTAAAATTAGGAATTCTTAATTTTTTGCCCCTTATGTGAGGCAAAATAGATTTGGATTCCAATATTAAAGCCTGCAACTAAAAGGCCTAAGGGCGCATCGACCTCTGGACCTGGGGGAAGACAAGTTCTCCAGAAGCTGCAGAATGCTAGTTGAGACTACCTGTGGTGAGGAATGCTGTTGGGCAGCTGAATTGTTTCAGCAGAACACTCAAGTCTTGCAAGTCTTTTAGCATGTCCTGCTTTCCTGATCCTTCCTGGATGAATCATATGCAGCTCTGCCAAGCTCTTGAGTGTTGAAGTTGTTGCAGGAGTACCATCTGCCACCTTTCCCGCCACCTCAGCCACCTCCGCTAGCAGTGATAGCATTACTTCTTTGGATTCTTACTCCTTTGTGTATTTGATATCTGCTAGACTGTTGCCTGGTTCTGGACAAGTAGCTATGGGCAGAGCCTGTAAAGTGAGAAGAACAGATGGCCAGTATTTAATCCGCGACTCTAAATATGAAGCCTCTTAGCAGCTTCTGGCATGTTATTACCAAAACATCTTCCACCTGCAGAACACGGATTCATTCTACCAAAGACCCATTCATTTGGGGTCAGTACTGGGTCCAGTATTGTTTAACTTAGTCATCAGTGACCTGGATGAAGGGACAGAGTGCCTCCTCAGCAAGTTTGCTGATGATACAAAACTGGGAGGAGTGGCTGACACACCAGAAGGCTGTGCTGCCATTCAGAGGGACCTGGACAGGCTGGAGAGTTGGGCGGAGAGGAACCTCCTGAAGTTCAACAAAAGGCGAGCGCAGGGTGCTGCACCTAGGCAGGAAGAACCCCAGGCACCAGGACAGGCTGGGGGCTGACCTGCTGGAAAGCAGCTCTGCAGAGAAGGCGCTGGGCGTGCTGGTGGGCAAGAAGTTAAGCATGAGCCTCAAGCATAAGCATGAGGAGTGTGGCCTTGTGGCCAAGAAGGCCCAGGGTATCCTGGGGTGCGTTAGGAAGAGGGCTACGAAGATGAGGAGGGGACTGGAGCATCTCTCCTGTGAAGAAAGGCTGCGAGAGCTGGGCCTGTTGAGCCTGCAGAAGAGAAGACTGAGAGGCGATCTCATCAATGTGTACCAGTAGCTGAAGGGAGGGTGTCAAGAGGCCAGACTCTTTTCAGTGGCACTTAGCGATAGGACAAGAGGCAACGGGCATAAACTGCAACACGGGAAGTTCCGTCTGAACCTGAGGAAAAACTTCTTTCCTGTGAAGGTGACAGAGCACTGGAAGAGGTTGCCCAGGGAGATTGTGGAGTCTCCTTCGCTGGAGATATTCAAAAGCTATCTGGAGGTGATCCTGGGCAATGTGCTCTAGAGGACCCTGCTTGAGCAGGGGTGTTGGACTAGATGATCTCCAGAGGTCCCTTCCAACCTCAACCATTCTGTGATTCCTGAAAACATGGCCTTGCATTCAGTGGACACCTGGGCTTTTTCCACCCTTGGGGTCCTGTTGCCTTTCATCATTCAGTGGAGATTCCTTTGTAAGTACAGACAGGAGAGCATTAGGCAGGTCACTGTTGTGTTTTACAACTCTTCTAAACTATGGAGGGTACGGATCCTGTTTTTGTGTGGCTAAAAAGTAGCAAGGATACAACTTCTCTAAATTAGAGGAGATTCTGTAGAAATGTTTTGCTTCTACTGAAGCCTTTTGCCTTCTGAGACCTTTTGGGATTATACAGCATGAGGAAACCCTTGTGTTTCTTTTGCATTCCCGAACTGCTGCTTTCCACCTCAAGGTTCAGTTTTTCTCCTTTAGTGGTGTGACCCATTTAAATTGAGCTTTTGCTCCGGGACAGTCACTTTTATTATGATCTGCTTGAGCTATAAGAGTTGGGACCAAGTCAAGGGTTTGTACTGCAGTTATGCTGATGCACTTGTGTCTTCCAGGAAAATGCTTAGCTGCTACTTTGTTCTGCTTTGTGTGTAAAGTTTGTTGTAATGAAGTATTTTCTTATGCCATTTTCTGATCTGTAGGACTTTTGAGATGGGGATAGAGATGCTTTTGGTTCTTGAAGCAGTTGTTCCCAGATAGTTGATGTAGAAGCTGACTATCAAGACAACCTATAGCTGGAAGTCAGGTAGATGCTAACTAGGTACAATGTAAAGTTGTAGGCTGTTTCAGGAAGACTACATTCCCTCACTAATTTAATCTGTTCCCTGTGGTGCAGGACCTTTCTGACTGTTCAGAGAGCAGCAGTGAGCTCCACTGCTGATTCCTGAAGTGGATTCAGTGAGGCAGGTCCTGGGTCTTATCTGCTTTTCTAGCTTTCCGTATTTGAAACCTGTACTTTTGAGTGCTTGAGAGAAGAATAGTGTCGTCCCCTGGTACTGCTACTTTGTTTCCCAAGTTATCAAAATCAGAAATTGATGTCATATCATAAGATGTGAGTGATGTCAGCCAGTTGCTGTTGCTGAGTAACTAGTTTACACAGCCCAAGTTTGGTCCCTTCCCTTCTAAAAGGGGCATGTCTCACAAAAGGAGGCTGTGCTCAAGGACTCTTACCTGTACTGCCTCCAATGGCATCTGTAACCGAGATGCTCTGTGCTCTTGCTCTAATCTTCTGTTCTGTTCTTTTGGCTCTTGCTGTGTGTGCTCTCTATTGTGTCCTTGCCATGATTTTGTGAGAACTGGAAGCTTTCTGAGATTAACTGTGGCTGTGCTGTGCAGGTTTAATGCACCTGGCTAGAGGATGTGGCTTTCTGGTACAGCATGGGTCAAAAACAGGGTTTGGAAAACTTGCTGGAGAACGTACAAATGGACCTCTTTAGATTCCGTGCTTTTCTGCTCAAATGTTCAGAGCCTAAGTGAGATTTGAAATTTTGAAGGGGAAGAGCCAGGAATAGTGTTCCTTGAGATATTTAGACTCAAAAAGGTGGAAGGAGCAGCCTCCTGTGATAGGGTGCAGGACAACTTGGGATATTATATAGGTTAGGGTGCTGTTTGGAGATGGCAGCAGGCAGACTTAGAGCTCAGTGGAAATCAATTTTAATTTAAGTCTGTTTGCCAAGGGCTAAAGTTGGAGTTGAGATGGCAGAGCTGTGTTGACATTGATTAGAATCTTGTGACTTTGGCCTGAACAGTGGCCTAAACTGTAGAGAAAGCTTCTTACCTGTTACACCTAACACATAGCATAGTCAGAAGGTCCTTCATCATATACTGGAAGAGCTTGTAGACTGAAGCATCACAGCCATTCTGTTCCAGATGGGGCAGTCTATTAGAAAACTTTTAGACACACCACCTGCTGTTCTGGACGTGAGTAGAATATGCGAATCAGTACTTGAGGTGGAACAACCATGGAAGTGTAACTCATTCTGTGAGACTTCTTCATATATTTTTGTCTATTCATGCTTTACTTTGTGTCCATACTGTTAGATTTTCTTCTGAAAGCTAACTTGGATCCAAAGGAAGGAACTCTCTTTGCCGGTAGAATTGTGACAGTGACATTTCATCTACTTGATTTCTAATTGACTTCTCTAAACTGTTTCAGTTGCTCTTTGTGGTTTCTTACCATCTCCTTTTGCAGGTAGTTTCAGAAAAGCTGGATTCTAAAGGTTAGGCCGAGTAAACAAATCTTACAAGATTGCTTAAGAGTTACCTAAGGAGGTTGATGAATTTATTTTTCTTTCCCCTCAGATTGATGCATCATGCCTTACGTGGGAAGGACAGCAGTTCCAGGGCAAAGCAGCTATTGTTGAAAAACTGTCTGTAAGTATGTAATCCTTACTGAATGTTTTGGGAAGCATTTCTGAAGACTGTAAATTAGTTACTTTTGAAAATTTGAATTTGACTTTAGCAGCTTAAAACTCTTGAAAATGAGACTTGTGCTTCCAACTTATGGTTTTCAGAAAATGTTACCTGTGGTTTAATTCTGTGTGGTGGGACGTTACAATGGCAGCACTAATGGTGGAATATTGATTGACTTCTTTATTTTGCAAGTTTATTTTGTGACTCTGCAATTAGATTTGACATTGCTAGCTAACTTTCAAAAAACAATAGTCCATACTGCTGACCCCTTGATCTTTTTTAGAACAATGCTATGGAAGTAGCACAGCAAACCTATTGTTTGGATTTGCATGTGGTAAAGGCCAAATATGTTATCACTGCCAGGAGCTTTCTGTTTTCTGATACATAAGCTGCCAACAATTTCTATAACGGAGACCTTGGCTTATTCTAAACCCAGAGTTCATCAGCTATTCAGATACGAGCAGTATGGTCCAGGATTTTGGAACCAGTGCTCTCTTTAAGTGAGAGGAAAGCATTTCTTACTGTATAGTGAATGAAGCTCTTACTTTATGTTCATTTAGTTAAACATGGAAAAAAAAAAATACTTCTTTTGAGAAAAATCTATGTTAATGTTCTGAAAATCGGTGTACTTGTGAGCTGTGATGAGATCAGAAAGTTTGTCCCCCTTGCAGTATCTGCAGAGGGCATGCTTTGGCTCTTCTGACATTCTGCTTAGAACATGGTACATGAGAGAGAAGAAGATACCATTCACATGCTTTATTACTCTCTGAGAAGAAAAACCTTTGTTACTTGGACACCTGTCTAGTTGCACAGCTATTGCTTTTGTGTTTTGAAATCATTGCTTTCATCCAAGTTCTCTTTAACTGTGAAGACCGTAGTCTGTCCTTGGATCTGTGTTTTAGGTGCCTGCGTTGCCTTCAGGAAGGCCATGCACCTCAGAAGTAACACAGCTTGCAGTTGCTTACGCCCGGATAAGGCACGAGAAGATACTTGGGCTCTAGAGTTGTTTGTGTACTCAGTATTCCTTAGACCTCTGGGCTAGCAGCCATTTAGACACCCAGCCAGCTAAACATTTGCTTGGCTAGTGTCTAAAACTGTTTCTTTGGATCTGTCCCAGTGCAGATCAGCCCGTTACCCTCCAGGGTGATGTTCACTTTTGCTACAGTCAGGGAATGCAAAGAAGAAAGTCAGACTTCCTGGATTCATGTACCCGCTGCACAGTCTTGCTTGGTGAGTGAAGGCACACTTCTTGGCCCCAGAGGAAGCTTTTTCTGTCTATGTCCATCTGATAAAAGCAAAGAAGAAATTCAGTAAAATTATTCAATGTCCTTCTCCTGATGTGGCTTGCTATGGAGCTTACTCTGACTGTGATGTCTTTTAGCATGGCTCTGTCTGCTGTTCAGCCTAATGTGTTTGTCTACCCCATTTCCGCTCCTGGAGCTTCTGAGAGCGTTGAGCAGGGCACTGACAAAATTTGGCACTGGACTGCTTTTGCACTTTGTGGTTTTGTGTGCCTGACCTAGTCAGTACTGCGCCCTAAGCGTCAACAAGATCTCTCCTGTGTAACAGCAACACAGCAGCACCTTTTCAACCCACTCTGTGTCAGATGATGCTAATACTATGGGACAAGGCTGGAGTGACGTTGGCTTGCCAACAGTGGTGCATCTGTAACAGAGTGGACAGTCCTTCTTTCTGGCTTAATTGGTGTTGGACTTAGGAGTCATCATCTGAAGTAGTGCCTGCCCTCTTTGGTGCAGCCTGTTTTGGCTTAAGCGTTCAAGATGCTCCTTTAGTTCTTCTAGGAGGAGTTATTCTAGGCTTCCTGGACCAGGGAAGAAGCTATGCCAAGTTGCTTTAATGACAGAATATCTCCAGACCTACTTTAGTGCATTGTGGGATTTCTTCATATCTCTTGGTGGAATTGTCACAGTGTGCACATTCTGCATTAACCAGACTTATTCAGAATCTCTTCCCATCAATAAGGCACTCTTAGATTTAGCTTACTGAGTATAATGGGCTTCTGCCTCAAGGTAGGCAACTCAGAAAATAGGTTGATGTTTTCAGGTACTCTAGGAAGTGGAATGTATTTATGCAGCACAGCCAGCTCCATCAGAGAAAACCAAAAGTGCCCTTCCCTTAAGTGAGATTGCCAAGAGGGTGGGTGCTAGAAAGGATAAAATTTGCTTCTAATGACCCTTGCTTAGCCTGCTAAAATACCAAGCACTTCTCGGCAGGTGTGAGTCTTTAAACTACTTGACAAACTTTATTTTTGCAGAATTTATCTTATCTGACTTCAAGAAAGACTTTGAAAGCCCAGGCAAGTTCTCATAAGACACTGAAAGCTTTGCTTGTTGTATGGGTTTCCCATTTGTGTCACTTCCGTTGTGTTCTGCATCTCAAGAAATGCTTCTCTCCAGTACAGGTGCATGTCCATCCTTTTGAGGGAGTTTCCCCTCTAACTACAAAAAGTGATCTTTCCTACTAGCTGATCCTACTCTGTCCAGCAGGATTTTCCCTCCTGTGTCACAGGAGAAAGTCTACTCAGCTGGATGACCATTGGGGTCTCTTTCTCTGGAGGTGATATTCAGGTACTTGAAACAGGCACCACCTTGCCCAGTCTTGTCTTTGGTTCTGTGTCACTGCTTTGGGGGATCTTGAAGGGAGGGAGGCCTTTCCTTCCTCCCTGTTTTCTGTCTCTAATCTCACCTCTTATTGGCATCTTGTCACACTGGAAGCTGGGTTCTGGGTACAACCACATTCATTTCAGTTCATCCCTCTACTCGCAGCCTTTTTAAGAGACTCTTCCTGCAGGACTTGTTCAACAGGAAGTTGATGTACTGAGGTAAGACCAGGTTTCACAGTGCTCTGCCTTTTGTCTAAGGGAAGGTGTCCAATGTCTAACTTGTATGTTCAAGTTCAGGATGATGACCCTGGAGAATCTTCTGCTGGCAGTTCAGAAAAGGCTGCTCTGGGGTTTTTTTGGGTTACAGGGTGTCTACTCCACATTATGCGCAGGTTGGCACATTTCTCTTCAGTTCGTGATAGGTCAGGATTGTTATCAATGTAGCGTACTCATGTTCAGCCTCTCTGACGTTTTCATCTCCCTGCCCCCTCCGCACTATGTGCTCGCCAAGTTGCTTGTGGTGGCCGCAGCAGACTCTTCCTTCTTGTCTTGTCATGATTGACTGATAAAATTAAGACCAGGTCCTATTTGATGCTGTTTCCAAGGCACATATATTTGAGTATTCTGGAATTGTGACTGATCCTCACTCAGCTGGTGGAATTTTGGGGCAACTTGTAGACTAACTTGAGGGCATATCTTTCTCCAGACTGTCAGCTTTGATTCAGCATGTGTTATCACAGCAGACACCAAGGGTTACTTTCCTTTCTGGCCCCTACCACTAGCAAACAAGTTCATAGTGTCCCATACCAAGCTTCAACTCAGGACCAGTGTCTTTTGTCTGTGTATGAGCATAGCGCTGCTTACTCCTTGGGTCATCGTTCCTCAGCCTTTGAAACATTCCTGTTCTGAGGGCTCAATTGTATCAGTGTCTGCAAGGAAGTACTTAATTATCCCCTTCCAGCATCTGTTGTTTGATTGCAACAGATGATGGTTGGAACTGACTTAGACAGTTGGCTCAAGGTCATGGTTCTTTGAAGAAGTATCATCTTTGCAATAGTATTCTGAACCTCCATCCATTCAGACCACATTCAGGTCCTTGTGAATGCAGATGATTGACAGCTTGTGCTGCACAGCACACTGTAGTTCCTGGGAATCAGCTCCTCCTGCTGTGTTAGGAGGCAGTGAATCTGCTGGCTCTGACTGTATTAGTTATGCTGTACCCCTTCAGCTTTGGATCTGAGGCAGGAGGCTGAATCTGCTTCAGCAGATGTCTTCCTTGAGTGAGGGATCCCTTTGCAGATCTGTTTGCGGTCTAGGCCAAGAGGAAATGTTGCAGGCTTTATTCAAGAGTATTCTTTAATAGTGTTCTTCTGATATTCCTCTGTGATTAAAGGACTGCTCTGTGCTCTTCCTTTGCTTCCCCAGGTCTTGATTCTTCCAGTTTACTGTGTTCTCTATTTAGCCAAAGAATTAGCTTCCTAATATCCTTCCTGAAGCCTTACGCTTGTAGGGCAAAGTCTGTACTTCACGTCCTTGATAGTAGTAGAATTCTCATCCTCTGCTTTTAGGCCTAGGCTTTCTAGGAAGTCTTTAAGGCTGGCTCTTTCCACTGGAGGGAAATGCAGTGCTTGTCAAAGTGGATATCTGGATATGTCTCAACCTGTTATGAAATCGAGAAAGTGGAGCAAAGTGGTCCAAGTATATTCTACAAGTTCAAATAACTTCATGCCACTGCCCTGTGTGATGTCTTCACTCTGGGTATCAACTCTGATCACGCAGAGCTTTCATCTGTGCTGCATTGCCACTTCCATCACTAATGTGGCCTTTGATAGAAAGGTGCCAACATTTTGTTTGTGTGACAGGGCTCTGAGATCCCCTAGGTATGTACGTTCACAGCTTGGAGTCACCTCCGGTTGGAATGTCAATATGGCCCAAGTTGAAAGAGAGAAGAATTATTCCCCAGTATCTGGTGTTTCTCAAAGTGTGTACTTCACACTCTTAACTCCAGGTGTACTCACAACTGCTACATGAGCGTGGACATGAGTGTGGGGAGCTGCTGCTTTTTTTTTTTTTTTTTTTTTCCTTTTCTATGATTTGGTCACCACCTCCTCTTCCTCCCCCCTGCTCCTGCCTGGCACATGGCAAAGACGCCTGTCGCCATTTCAATTCCCCTCAGACACTATTATCTAAGAAAGACTCAAAGGGAAAAAGTGGCTCTGTGGATTTCAGGTTCTGAACACCGATTCTTGGTCAGCCACCTTTCCTTTCTGTTCATAGCCAGTTTAATGGGGAAGCATATTTGGAGTTGCCTGGTAAATTCCACCTTTTGGATCACATCATCTTCATACTGTTCAGAGCACAGAAGTTTTGTGCTTTCATCTTACAAAGTTTTAGTATGTAGATGAATGGAAGTTCTTATGGCTCAGTGTAATAAGACTAGGAAAAAAGTTTGACTTAGTGTATGTGGTAACATACTATTTCATGTCTTGGTGCTTGAAAAACATGTAACTGTCACGGTCAACCCAGCTGAGCAGTGCTGAGTTGCAACAACTCTCCCTGCAGTACTGTCAAAATATCCTAATTCTTCAAATGTTTTTTTGATCTTTCTTTTGGAAATAAGTTATGCAATGATTATACATTTCCTCATTTTACTTTTTTTTCATTGTAGAGCCTTCCTTTCCAAAAAATACAACACAGCATCACAGCACAAGACCACCAACCTACACCTGACAGCTGTATACTCAGTATGGTAGTGGGACAGCTTAAGGTAAACTCTTTCCATTACAGGGTAACAAATGTGTATGTCTTAGGGTTTCTTTTTCTTTTTTTTTTTTTTTTTTGGTAGAACACTAAATCTGATTTCTGAAAACCTTAAAACGTTCTCTCGGGTGGGGAGGGAGTACTGGTAAGCTTACATTGCAACATCAGTCTTGTGCTATTGAAGACTGACAAGATACTGTTCCTCCCTCAATAGAACTAGCACTAAGTAAAAATCTCCTGCAACTTGGCAGGCACTTCTTCCTGTCAAGCAAAGCACCATGGCCTTTATTGTGTATATGAATATAATATGGGCTCTGAAGGCATCAATATTTTCCTTACTTGGATACAATAAGGTTTGTGCCCTCAGTTGCTTTAAAAGTATCACTGTAGTGTTCTTGGACACCATAAGCACATCTAGTTAAAGTTTCTTCTGTCCTTGGATGTAACATGTGCATCATGTGTTGTGATTCTGTAGCCTTTTTTGTTAGCTGACAACCCTTCAGTAAGATCATGCTTTCCCTTTGCTGTCCTATGACAGCCACAAGTTGGATTCCAGCTTTCTTGTTGCTCACTCCTGCCTGCACATTGTCTATTGAAGAAAGATAGCCACATGTGGTCATGGAAAGCACTGAATTCTGGGGCAGTTTGAAGTCGAGCATGCTCATCTTGTCTCTAGCTCTTGGGTGTGCACAAAACTCAGTGTGACAGACACACATTTTAACTCAATATCTTGGACTAGACTCAGCTGCAGTGGTTATGCCCACTCATATTTTTAAGGTTATTTGCATAATCATCAAACAGATCACAGCCTGCAGCAGTGTTTCTGTATTGAATCCCATGGCAAGAGATGAAGCTCTTAAAGAGATTCCGTAAAGCTTTTTGGTCTTCTTGTGCAGTAATATGGTCATTAGACTGGTAGGTGCAGTCTGGGAGCTTTCCATAAATACCATTACTTGGAGCAATATTTCTTACTGTGCCATTTTTATCCTCCTATTTCAACTTGCTGAGCCATTTTTATCCTCCTATTTCAACTTGCTGAGCCATACCTGAGTAATTCAGGGATCACATGATGGTGTATCTAGCTACTTGGAAAGAATGTTGGATTAAGTGGAATATTTACTGTTGTCATGACTTTACATAACCTGTTCATGAATTTTTAGTTGGAGAAACAACTCTCTTCTATTCCTTACATGTGTGAGTCTTCAGTCTTAGCTTCAGAAAGCAAAGTTTAATGCTTGGGGTTGCTGTGTCTCACTGAGGAATTTTCCAGAAGCTTTAATTTAAACATTCTGACTTTTTGCTTCTGCCTTGTGTGATATTCTTTGTTGCAGCTGGATAAATGAAATAACCAGTAACAGTCTATAACATGATGTGCATGGTAACCACTTCTGTTAATACATGAAACCAGTTGTCACATGTAAAGAATACTTTTTCTTGTTGTGTTAATACATGTATGTTAGCTCTGAGATGGATTAAAATTATTACTGTTCTAAGTTCAAAACAGTAACTAAAAACAGTTGGATTCAGTTAGACACTTTAAGTTGCTCATCTGGTGTTCAAGTAGAACAGGAGACTGTAGCATTCAAAGGTGGAGCTGCATGCTTCAGTTATCTAAAGGTAGCCTTCTTAACAGTATGTCTGCTCTACACAGCTCAAGTTTGTTCATCTCAAGGAAAACTTAGAGATTAACTGGCACAAGAAGAGGACTTTAAGGACCATCGGTAGCAGAGTTAGAAGGGAAAACCCACGTTTCCCACTTACTGGTCAGTTATTCTGCTCGTTGGACTATGAGGCCAGATTCTTGAAAGCTTAATTTGATTAACACATCATTTTGAATCCATCACGTTTTTTAAAACCTGCATTGTTTTATGTAGTGAAGGAACTTCCATAGGCTTTCACTGGAATAATACAAGAAAATAACTTAGACTAGAAATACTTGATGGTTGTGTAACGTGCTCTTCTTAAGGAGTCATTCTTGGTATGATATTTGAATGCATTTTTTGGAGTCTCTGAATTATTAGTCTCAAATTCAGCCAAAGCTCATTCTTAAGTGAACCGGGCGCATCTTGGCATTTCTTCCTTAAACCTTTAAATTCCGTCTTGTTTTATTTTAGGGAAAGCAAATCCAAAAATACTTGAGCAGAAAGAATCTCCTCTTCTCCCTCTATACTGTGGGATGAGCTGTTAATAATGCCTCAGCTCTCTTCTTCACTATGCTGATATATTCCTGAAGAAGTGATGGACCCAGGACTATTATTGTCAAACTCCTCATTTCCTTTACCAGAAAGAAATGCTTTAAGAAAAGATGATGCAGGTTTTGGGAGTCTTAAGCCTTTGGCTCCCCTTTTGGAGGTGGATTTAATTGATCCATTTGAAACATTACCGCCCTGTGACAAGATCAGGATGTATATTTACATCTATGCTGCTCCAGTCTATAGCCCACCATGTTAATCCCAATATGAACTGTAAAAAACCAACATCTTTTAGAGTAGGTAGTCCCCTCTGTTGAGGGGACTGGACACAGCAGCAGCTTGGAGAAGACGATTGAGAGTAATAGAGCATCTAAGTAGGGTGGATGAAGTCACTAACAAGGGTCCGACACTGGCAGAAATGATACAGGAATTTTCTTCATTGAAAAGCGCATTTTTGAACAGATATGAAGAATCTTCTTTCACGAATGTTGGGATAGTTGGTAATGTTTTATTTAATCCTTCTGTGGAAGGATAATAAATATACCTCTATCTATTCCAATTCTCCTCATCGTTTTTTTGCTGCTATTCATTGCCTGGGTGCTTGCTTGCTTCAGCTCTTGCAAGCATCAGTCTTGAAACCTCTAGGAGTGAGTTTCACTTGGTGACACTACTTCACCAGTATTCATCCAGGATGTCATGCGGTGTTTCTAGTGTGCTTCACTTAGTAACGTATTTCTCCTCCTGTTATGATCAGGCAGACGATGACCAGGTTCTAGGCTTCCAGCAGACTTTTTTATTGAAAAGTTTTCAAGGTGCCTGGGTATGCACCAATGAAGTCTTCAGGCTAGCCCTCCACAACGTTTAACCTCTGCCTTACCTCTGTTCCATGCAGTCATCGCCGAGTAAGGAGTGCTCTCTTCTCCTCTTCTGTCAATTGAGCTTATAGTGGCTGAGAAGCATGGCTATTGCTTGCACTTTCTCAAAGCAGTGTGGCAGATCTGAGGCTCTCCCTAGAGCGTGGATTTTGAAGTGATCATTGCAGAACTAATTGTGAATAACTAATTCTGTTATGCAGTGTTTCCTAGTCTTAAAAGGGGAAGGGAATTTGCAACCAAAGTCACCTTTTTTTCATGCATGGTGAAAACAAGCTTTAAGCAATGCTGAAGTAAAATGAGGAAATTTAATATCTGAAGGTACCTGTTATCCAAAGTAAATAATTGGCTTATGCTTTGAGATGAAGATAGCTATGAGCCTGCAGTTCAATCAACAGTTGCTACAGAGTGCTGGTGAAAGGAGAATAAAATTGTCTCTGACCAGGCAAGAGGAGAAAAGTTAAGTTTTTCTACTAGAGTAAGTTTCAGAACTAAACTTGGATCACAAATGTTAGATATAACACTCTGAAACGGCCCATAGTTTCACGAGTTGAGGACTTGCCACGATTTTGGACCTGCTAATTCATCCAGTCTAAGGGTTCCTAGGTCAGAAGGAATGTAGAGAAACTGATTAAGGCGCAGAAGAGGGCTGCCAAGATCTCCAGGATTCTAGAGAGAGCTGAGCTCGTTGAGTCTAGAGAGGAGGCAGCTAAGGGCAGTCTATTAGCAGCATACAACTACCTGAAAGAAAGGTAGCTGGAAAGTAGTTAACTATTAGTCAGTACTGGAAGTATGCTTTCTCAGTGATGCCAGACAGAATAACAAGGAACAGTGGTTGCAAACTGTAGCTTTGGAGGTTCAGTTTGGACAGCGGGGAAGCTTTTTCACCAGAAGGATGAAACCCTGGGATGTTGCCTGGAGAGATTGTGGCGCCTCCAATTGCTGGAGGCTTTGAAGACTCTGCTAGACAAAGCTGTGGCTGGTGTGATGCCTCTGACAGTCCCACTGTGAGTGGGAGGCAGAACTAGAGACTTCCAGAGGTTCTTTCCAGTCTGCAATTTTGATCTTTATTCAAGGATCACATGGCATGAAAAGGAATTTGAACTGCATATAGGAAAGCTTTGTGGCGAAAAGCCAAACCCCTTATGCTTATAATGGGGTGATGCCTGGAATGCGATGGACACATCTGAATTTGTATTGGAAAGTAAGAGTAAAGGGAGTTTCAGTGAGGCTGCTTGAGCTGTGACGAAGAGCTGAAATAAAGGGATTGGGTGAGTCATTGCCTTGTAAAGCATCTCAAATAACTCAAAGTATACTCTTTGCAAATCTGGTTGAATTATTGGGCAGGGTGGTATTGTTCCTGTGTACTGTGAGAACATTACGTGAAAGAAATAAAGCAAGCTATACTATGTGACTTCATTGTGTGAACTGGCCATGCGTAGAGCAGCAAGAGGAGTTTTGAGGACAGAATTCTTTCTTTCAATCTCTTTCATACATCCAGTCCTGAATTACACAAGGAAAGAAGAAATTCCCCTCAAGCCAAAGTACTAATGACTGCAGTGCAGCTAGGCTTACCATAGACTGAGGAAACATAATCAAAAGCTAGCATGATGATTTCTCTCCCCCCCCCCCTTTTTTTTTTAAAGGTATATTTTTAAGTATACACTCAATGAGCAAGCTTAAGTTTAGAGGGGGAAAACTATTTGTGACTTCCAGTAGGCCCCTCAGTGACATAAGAAGAAGAAGCCATAAAGCAAGTGAGAGTATATTAAATGCTTATTAATAGTTGTGATTCAGAGTGATCCAAGCTGAACGGATTCTGCTTGGCTGTAGTCCGAGCCCAGTAGAAGCCATTAGAAAGGAGCTGGCGTGAATATGAGTTCATTCAGACTTGGTCAAAAAGGTTAACTTTGACATCTTTGCGAAGGCATGTCAAACTTGGATGCATAGCTCTCCAAAGTTTCTCAGTTTTGTTAAAGATTCCTTTAAAAATCCTTTTAAATATCCATCAAAAACTTACCTACAACCAGCTATTTAGCAGTAGTGGGACCCTTCTACTACCTGTGAGTTTCAGTGCACAAGCTACCTCTTCTTTCTAGGCAGATCTAATACTGATAGGATGTCCTCTGAAATAGCTGGTATGTCTACTGTCATACATACTAATGAACTAGATGGGTAGCTGGTCTAATCTGGCACAGTTGCTTGTATTCACATCTAGCTAGTTATTATGGAACCTCTGCCTAATGCAAAAGAATGGCTTTATCAAAGTGGCAAAAGGCTACCCAGTACATCAACCTGCTGAATAGCGATTGTGTTAGCACTTGCCTTGGTTCTGGGATTTTTTTTTTCCATAGATTTATCTACTCAATACTTCGGTTTATACTACTCTCCTACAGCCAAAAAAATAAGGCGACACCAAATAAGACGAGAATTTTCCTTATCGCTTTGTCCTTCACGTTTTATAGTAGTTTAATATATATTACCCTTTCTCCCCACCCAGACATGTTTTTTGCAGGTTAGCGTTGTGCTTAATTTGCTGTAATCAGTAGGAAACTGGATGATCTGTCTTGCCCTTCTCTGGCCATTCCTTATTCTACTGTGTAGAAATACATGCAGGATTTGATATGTGGGTGCTCTGTGCATTTATGTGGTCGCATAATTATGCATTTCTGTTCTGTTCCATTCCTAATAGCTGCTAGCACTTTGCCTTGATAGCTGTTGAGGTCTGAGGTGGTATTTCGAAAAAAAATTGTCCATAATGATTTCAGTATCACTTTCCTGAGAGACAGCAGCTAATCTTGGGGCCCTTTTTTGTTTTCCTCCATGGATTAGTCTACACATACTGATACTGCATTTCATCTACCTTTTTATTTCCTAGGCAGTTGTCACTGAAACCCTTGCAGTCAATTTTAGGGTCTTTTAGATATTAGATCTAGATTTTAGATTTGAATGTTCCTCTTATGCTTTAGTTATGCACTTAACTCTACCAGTACTCTGGCAGACTTCCTGGTTCTGATGTAACTTATGTCCTTAGGAAGTTGCTTCTCCTTTGTTTGTTTCATAGTTAATTCATCATTTGTGTTCCTCTTTAATTAGAGGATGCTTTATTTACTTCTAGCAGCTTCCTTTACTCTGTTCTTTATTCTTGGCTTTTTCGTCCACTTTTCTTGATGGACTGCAGAGAACTCAAATCCACCCAAAATTAGGTTCATTCAGCGTTTTGAGTGTTTCATGCATTCCTCTGGCTGCTGCTTTTTAATGGTTTAATGCTTTTTTCACTCTTTTCCTGGAGTTTAATAGTTGCATGCTGAAAGATTAAAGCTTGAATACTCTGGAAAATGTTGAATGGAGTATGTTATGGTCAGTATCAGAAGGGGTTTTTTTGTACCTAGGTACTATGTACTGTTCAGCTGGAGATCACACAATAAGATTTAATGCTGATGTGAGAATCAATCACTTATGTTATTTTATGGCTTTAACCCGTGCATGATGTCACTGAGGAAACTGGTAAACGTTAGATGGGAGGACTAGTCTCTCTCATACTGTTTTCTACTTTTTTTTAGTCCCTAACACCTCTAAATGTAACACAGGCCCTATACCACAGCTGAATTGTCAAAGGCAGAAGTCGAGGCACCACTACAGAGATTCACTCTGCTAGACATCCTGTCACAGCTACAGCAATTGTTTAAGTTATTTTGAGCTGTTCATGTACAGTAGAAAATGAAGTACTACATGGCTGGCCAGCTGTACATGCTCTGGGAAAGATTTCAAAAGCCTAGATCATAGCAGAGATCATTCAGGCAATATTATTGATACTGACTCCTACAAAAACTCCCTTCTATGACAGATCCATACTACAGCAATTACCAGCTAGTTTTTAAAAACATTAATTATAATTTCTTTACAAATAGTTCCTAGGCTATGGCCCAACAGAAATTTGTGACTAAGCACAATGAGGCAGGCATGTACTTATCAATGATGTGAAGCTGCTGGAATGAGACATCTGCAACAGTCTTCCAGAAAACCCCAACAAACTGCAGCAGGTTCAAATCCTGTTGCAGGATTTGTGTTGTGAGGCCTTAGGTGTTTGTTTGCTAAGCAACTTCAATACAACCAGAGGCTCTGTTCTAGTTGTTTCCTGAGGTTCTGGACATGCACATGACTTCACTGTTAGTGTTAGCTTTTTAAATATTGCTTAGAGTGTTGGAATGCATTTCTCATTTAAAAAAATTTTTTTCAAACCTTTTTTTCCCCCTCTTTCTCCACAGGCTGATGAAGATCCTATCATGGGATTCCACCAGATATTTCTATTAAAGAACATCAATGATGCCTGGGTTTGCACCAATGACATGTTCAGGCTAGCACTGCACAACTTTGGCTGAGCTGGAAACCCCGAGGCACCCATGCTTTTTTCTTCTCTCTTCTTTCTGATATTATTCACACTCACGGAACATTCCAAATATCATACACAAACCTGCAGCACTGCAGAGCGTGAGCAAGCAAGACCTGAGACCTGCCCTTCTGCCGAGTTTACATTGTCACTAGATGAGTTCCTTGTGCATGATGTTTGGAAGTTACTTAGCTGCATTTGACAAGAGAAATTTGTGTTGTACCAGCATGCCTCGGAAAGAATTTATAATGCAAAGGGTTGCTGTTTATGTACTGACAAGATGCTTTATAACCCAAAGAAATGAAAGAACAGCAGCCTGTACAGCCCAGATGTTGATTTGTTCGGATGTTTTGATGCTACATTACACAATAAAACCATGAGATTTTCTTAACAGTTTAAATTGTTTTTAGCAGTTGGATATTGAGTATATGGTACTACTTGAATTAGGTGGACACAGGGTATCCAACCTCATTGGGAAATGTTTACAAACACTTAAGACTTTCACTGGGGAAGGCTGTTCAGGTACGCCCTTGGCCATACAACTGCTTTCTCCCTCCTTCTCAGCAGCTATTGCAATGGTGGCTTCTGGCTCAGTTTTTAACATTCTGCTTGACCTGTTAGATCTTGGCTGCTGTTAGGCTTTTGCCTTTGCAAAATACAAGATACTACACAAAGATTACAGTCATGGCAGCCTGTGTTTTATCTTCATGACATTTATTATGTTAACCCTCAAAGCTAAACAAGCCAGTTCTATCTTTTTTGTAGGTAGACACAGCCTGATACTTGCCTCCAGATGTCTGAAGTACTTAGACAATCTAGTATCCTTGAATTTGCATCCAGCCCAAATGCCCTTTGGCAGCTTTATGCTCTATTATCCTTTCAGCATTCCTTCACTATAATTTGAACTAGTTGATAGTACTGCATTTGCTGTGCAGTGTGGATGTGGGGTTTTTTTCCCCTCCAACATCATTGACTGTCCTGTATCACCCTGAAGGTGGCAGCATTTCACTAGTGAATGGATTTATTAAATACTTAACTCTTTCTGGAATAAGAAATACCACATGAGCAGAATCATGTTTGGTTTACCTTCATAGCTGATTAAGCCATTAGGCCCAGACTTTTAGGAGCTTAGCATGCCTGGCTGAGGCCAGGCTTTCAAAGTATATTGAACTTGGCATTTCCCTTAGACTTTACAAGAAAGCTGGGGCTGCAGTGTGGTCAAGCTGATCAGTTCTCAAATCTGGTTGCTTTGATGTTGAAATAGGAATGGAGCTTTCTTGAAAGTTGATCTTAGGGCCTGCCTGTTTGGTATCACAACATTTCCATATGTTCCCTTTGTGCTGACTGATTTGTTTCAAATGCAGTACTGTGTCCCTGTTGCTGTTTCTGTGCTATTGAAATAGCATTCAAAATTTATCACTTGGAGAGACTATTTTAGTAGAAGGAGGCATTTTGCATGGTCAGTGCTAGGCAAAGATCTTTCTGTTGTAGACTACAGCTCTAAATGAAGTCTGGCTTATGAACCTTGCCTTGCAGGAAGATCTTGTCCACTATGTGAAAATAGTCCTTTGGTGAGTTCAAAGAGCTAAGAGAGAGGTTTAGTTTCCAGGAATGCTACATGTTGCCAGTGTTAGTTTAACAGCAAATCTAAAATGAAAATTCTTTAAACCCTTAAAACTTCTTTGAAGTTATCCCATGCAGTTGTAACTGGCTATAGGGGGAGGAAGTGGGCCATAATAATACTTTTCCACAATAGTACTTTTTTTTTCCCCTCCTTTCTCCACGGAGTCATTCATTCCTGGTTCCTTACCTGGAGGAAACAAATGCCAGTGTTTCTGAATCAGTATTGCTTAATGCTTTCAGATCTGCAGGTCACTTTTGAGGCCTGTGATATGTGAACAGGTTTGCTGCCTCTTAACTGAATGCTTCTTTCTTGTACCCTTGTCTCGGTGCAAGTGTTAGACTGAGCCCTGAACAGTCATGTTCCAAGTTAGGGGGCTTCTTGGAGAGGTGGAGATAGCTGCCTGTAGTTGGAGAAAGGGAGCATTACATGTGATGGGTTTTTTTTTCCCCCAAATGACCTGTCTCACCCCTTTCAGAGCGAAACTTCTGGAACCCTATCATGGTATTGCATGCAGTTTGGTTGGAATTTCATACTGGCTTTGAAACTAGTGCTATTCATAGCCACATTAAAAATATGTCTTAAGAAAACTCTGAATGTGGTTCTTGAAGGCAACAGGTAATCTACTTTGCAGGGAGCTATGTGAGGATAGGGAAAGGAGGAACATTTTCCTCTTCAGAAGAAGGGGATGACTTGCTTCTCTTCTCTCCTACTTAATATCTGCCTTTTAATCGCCTGAAGAAAGCGAGGCCCAGCCCTGCTCCTCCAGCTCCTCCAGGTGAGAGGAGCAAGGGTGAAGCCTGGCCCGGAGTCACGAGTGTCGGGGTGGGGGGGTCCCTGGGGCCCCTGGCGGCAGCTCCCCGGCCCCTGCGCGGCCGGGTCGGGCACCTGTCAGAGCGGGGA